ACCCAATCATTTAAAGCGGTTTAGATTTTGAGAGTGAGTCTAGAACACACACACAAAAAAAGTTTCACAAGTATGATGTTGATAAGAAGGAGCTTCTGTCTGTCTGCAGAATCTGCACATCTGAGTAAATGGCTACAAACCCCTGTTTGGAAGACAGACAATAATCAGTCAGACAAAAGACTTTAGTGTTAATCAAAGAAGCGTGAATGTGTGTTGGATAAGTTGGTTACCTTCTGCATTTTGAGGATTGTGTTGACCAGTTGTGCGTGTTTCATTCTTGGTAAAATGATCCCTTTTCCCAGTTTTGCTGAAACAAAATATATTTTATGACACAAATGCTTGACTTATGTAAATATTTATTATATACTTATTTACATCTATCGCATGTAAAACTTAATGAAGTTGAAATCAGTCATGAGATCATGAACTGAGCAAAGTTATGTAACTAAAACTTACCGTTCAGTTGACCTAAGGCCACAATCATCCCACTCTTTATTCCACTTTTCAAAGCATCAGTCTGCAAGCAGAAACATGGCATATTGCACCATAACCAAAAGCAAATGACCTACTTTTACTTGCCACTTACCTTAAACTCTCCAATTTCAGTTGCCCCCACTGTCAAGGTAACACTAAAAGGGAGCAGTGTTGTTAACTTTGAGAGATGCTAAAACTTTGGGTGTCAAATATTTCTTTCTGAAACATATTTAAGGCGTACTTATTCAACATCACGTTGCCCTTCAGCTTTCCGTCAGCAATCATCATTTTACCGGTGAAACTTGAGTTCTTGAAGGAAAACAATATGGGATGATCAAATTATTTGTTTTGAGTTAATCTAGCTGATTGGCATGTGAAATATCAGCAGACTCAAAGCAGAAATCAGTTCATATTTGAGTAACCAACACTGTTATGTAAAATTAGAAGGTGAGGGTGCATAAAAGAATTAATTTAGTCTCTCTCTCCGGTAAAACAGCACAGGTACTTACAACGGAAAGTGTGAACAGAGGGATCTGTGTACCATTGGCTTCAATGGCAGCAGCCTTTACATCAACTTGGACATTCAGAAGACCAGAGCCGAGCTGGAGGGAAAACATTGGAGCCTGTTTGGCATTCACCTGAAGATTCATCAGCAAACCCGGATACATCTTGGGAAGCTGGACACAGAGAGAGAAAGAGAGAGGGAAAGGTTTCAGAATAGTTAGTTTAAAGGAAGAAAACTTAATGCTTCCTTGTGGCTAAGTCGGAACAGAGGGATGAACCTACCTGAGGGATGAACATTCCCATTGATGAGGTATTCAGGTGGAAAGGAATACATGGCGGTATCTGAAACCATGAAGCATTGGCAAACCAAGAAATATGTGAATACAAATTCACAATGTTTTCCTCCTCTGCTCTCTCTCTTTGTGGCTGCACCTACCATGCTGTCATTGATGAAGGCTTGAAGCTCCCCTGCTGAGAAGTACCCAAATGAGGCAGAGTTCAGCGTGAACTCTGATATCCCCACTGACAGCATATAACCTGCCAGCTCAGGCAAGATGAACTCCTGGGCCACAAATGGAGGCTCTTTGTGAGTTTTGATGCTCTGGAACTCCCCCTTCAAATGAAAAGACCACACGATGCATCATAAAACATGTATACATGTTCACAATGCCACACAGAAACAGATCCTGAAGGTGAGCTGGTTGCCCTACCTTACCTTAAACCCTAACTTCATATTCTGAGGCTCGACGTCAGGGACGCCAGTGAGAGGGACGTCAAAGTTAAGAACTTCATTTACGTCAAAGGAAACTGACACAACATAAAGAGTATTGTTTTAATTCAGTCAATAATCTTTGATTGTTCAATTAAATCTGAAGAGAATCTGTTTAAAGAATGTTGCAGTACCATTCATTGCCTGTAGATGGCGGTCTAAGTTCATGATGGAGTTCTCAACTTCAGGACAAATCTGAGTAGGAAACAAGCCACTGTTCAACACGACAGGCTCATCTTTAGAGTGTGGTCAGGTTAAGTAACATCATATCAATAGCATGTTTGCTGAAATACATACTTGATTTTGTATTCTCCCAATGATATGTCCTTTGAAATGCTTGACAAATGGCTGGAAAATCTTACTGTGGACAGAAAATAAGACAGATCTGACATCTTGGCATCATACTGGGGTAGATAAATCCCTTTGTTTATTTTTGCTTTTATTTATTTAATTTTCTCTGTACCTGGCTCCACCGTAGAACTGTATGGCCAAATCTCCGACCGAAGCTTTGCAGCTGACGCTGGTGACAGACAGATGCCCCCCAGCATCTCTCCCAAGCTGCACAGTGGAGGTCACGTCGATGTTAAATATAGCCATGTTGAATGATCCGCCGTCATGTCTGGAGATTTAAAAGATGAAGATCAGTGGTGCTGCTGCACATCTCACCAAGGTCTAGAGAAATACTAACGCAGTTTGTTTTTATATAAAATGATGAACATATACTCGATTTTGTGTTGGTTTTTCACCAATGTAGGTGAAATGTATGTCAAAAAGTTGCATTCTGGTGTCATCTGACCAGAGATCTTTCTTCCTCATTTGCTGTGTTCACCGATTGGATTGCAGGAAACTGCAAACAGGGATTTTTATGACAGTCATGTTTTTTGTTGTTGTTGCTTGTCTTGAATGAGGAAAGAGATCTGTGACCAGATTGAAACATTTCCTTCTCAAGAGTCTCATGAGGTCATTTTAAGGTGTGCCACGCACACACACACCTACACACACACGCACGCACGCACAACCCTCCCCCCCCCCCACAACACACACATGCAGGACACATTTTTCAACCTTTGTTTTGTGAATTCGATAACTACTGTGTGTCTATTTTTTTCTCCTTTCACTTCTGTGACTTTATGTTAGCCTCTGATACATAATCTGTATAAAATACATAGAAATATGAAGCCAGTGGGACAGAATGGGAAACATTTTAAGGGATGTGGATATTTTTGAAAGGCATTGAAATGATGTCAATGAAACGTGTCTTAGTTTTATTTTATGCTCACAATAATGTGCTTCATTTTCTCAGTGCTATAATTTTGCTACTTGAGGCCATTCAGAATCTAAATCTTGCTAAGACTGTGTTGAATATTCTTTTCTGTTCTATTTTTATGTGCTAAGCTTGATATGAAAGACAGAGGTGGAAACAAGAAGTAAAAGAAATCACAAGCTTCCTCATTAGAGCAAAAAGGAAACCTAAGACATTATTCAATTGTTTTATGATGCCACTGTGATAAAATAATTCCCTGGTAGAGTTATAAAAGCAACGAAGACTGCCTTCCTTTAAACCAGTCTGGCTAACTAATTGGAAAAAAATGATTTATTTGGAAGGTCAGGATGTCTTGAAAACTTTATCGTATTGTGACCAATGCTTGTGACATTGGTCACAAGCCCCAATGTGACGGGTCTTAGGGCCAGATGGGGCATTCGAGTTCTAATCAAAGCGCTGAAGGTCAAAAAGGAATGAGAACTTACATTGTACAAAAACGAGTCCTCCACTCCCCAGCAACAGCAAAACTGAGACCTGCTATTGATGTCGTCAAACCTCCCGGCTGGACAAACTCTACGCTAGGCTCTGGAAGGTCACACTTTTTTATAGTCACGCTAAAACAAGAGGAAAAGAAACAGGGGTGGAAATGTTCATTGAAGCCAGGGATATCTGCATATTACATGGATGAAACATGGCAAACGAGTGGACACATGAACTGTTTCTTGTCACTGGGAAGACATAATCCTACCCTGATAGTGTGTAGTATACCCTTCCGATGTAGATGTTAACACTGCCAGTGATGTCAGGAAAGGTTATTTGCTCCAACTTCTCCTGAATCCATCCTGTGCTCTCGTGTTTTCCTGCAAACACAGTGCATGAATAGCAGAGCAGGACATATGCGGAGCAAACTATGCAAACTATCCAAACATCCATCCATCCATGGATGACACCTTCGACCATTTCGGGTCAAAGGTGTCATGTGACAAATTTAAATATCTGAATAATTGGAAAGATTTTAGGCTTTGCCAGAAAAGCAGCGGATATTTTGTGATAAAGTCAATGATTGTGATATAGTCAGTGGCTGACAGGAATTAGAAGCATATGGGTGGTTTAAGAGTTTCTCACATCCCCTTACCATACTGAAGCCCTTTGTCTGTCAGGATGACTTTTACTCCAGGGTTCTCTCCACAGGCACACGACAGGAGCACAAAAACTACTATCACACATGGAAGCATTTTTCTTCTTCTTCTGTGCCTTCCTTACCTGTAAAATGACAAAAAAGAAATCAGTTTGAACAACAGCTTGACCTTTCTGGTATGTTTCGAAGCCTCTGAAAAGCAAACATGACAATGATAGCAAACCTGAAATGAGGAACAGACGGCGGACGGAGTTGAATAAAAAGCTTTGGCAGAAGGACTTGATCTGGGTGAAAACTCAGTCCTTTTGTACTGTGGCTGCAGACAAGCGAAGACATGCGACTTGTACTTCCTGCACTGCACTAATGAGAAGTGAAACTGGCTGACACCTGACAACAGCGGCAACATATCTATCTACGACGGTATGAGGAACTGAAAGTAACAAATTTAATTTTCTGCTGTTGCTCTGAAGCTAAGGGGTGCAGGTAATCTCATCAAAAGTACCTCAACTGTTCAAGACTTAAACATTAACAAACAGGAAATTATATTTTTCCCCATTGTTTTTGCACCGTCAGGAACAATTGGTACGACCAATAATTTGGAAGAGTTCTTTGTTATCCTCCAGATGAAAATAGTGATTGTTGTTTGACTTAGAATGTCTGTGCTGTAAAGGGATGGAGATGTTTTGCTTAAATGCAGTAGATCAAACTAATAGGGGTTTATTGAACTACAACACATTAAAACTGTATTCTTTGAGTGCTAACACTACAGAAAGAGGAAGCTTAAATAACCATTCAAAACAGAAGTTCAAAAGTGTTCTGTGGAAACGTGAATGACTCTAAGCAATGAAACATTAGAGTCACCAGCCATAAAATATTTCATTTATTTACCTCTTAAGTCAACAAATACTCTTAATCTCACACACCATGAGTAGTTCCAATAAATCACAATGAACACGTTCAACAGGAACAGAATATTATCAGACACGCATTTTTTTTGTTTTGTTTTGTTCTTGTAATATTACACAATTAGGATCCACTTGCCTGCACTTGATTTCACTCCATCCAGAATGACACTTGAAAACACAGAGGAAACAAACCAGGACTTCAGATTATTAAAAAAGAAGAAGAAACTACAAATCTCGACAGAAATGTATTCATTCTGTTTAGATCACTACACAGAAGATATTCATGGTTTATAGAGCACCATCTGATCTGATGAGTGCCTGTTTTCTCTGATTATTGATACCTATAGCAGCTCAAAAACCAACGATAACATATTGACTTCATTGTTTTTCCACATATTTCATTCCTCGAATACGAACACTGACACACTTACTGACATTTTCACTGAATCTTTGCATAAAGATTGACACATGGACAGAGTCTTTAATGCCCTCTTCTTCTGGTGCGGAGGTTGTGTCCTCTCTGTCCGCTGGATGAAACACTTTTTTTTTTGAATGAGTAAACTACTTTACACAACACCGATTAGGAATAACATTATGACCACCTGACTAATAGTGCGTTGGTCCTGATTTTTGCTGCCAAAACATCCCTGACCTATAAAGCCATGGACCCTTGAAAGTGAATTGCGGTATTTGGCACCAAAATGCAGGCCGTGGGGCTTCCAAGACTTGGACTTGTTTATCCATCACATCACACAAAATGCTGGACTGGATTGAGATCTGCTGAATTCAGAGGCCAAGTCAACACTTCGAAAGCTGGAAATATGAAGCAACATAGTATGGCATCTTATTGTCTTTGCTTTCCTTCTTTCATTATGTTAAACTTTGCTAACTGCGGTGCAAGAACTACTGCTGGTAAAAATTAAAAATAAAAAAAATAAAAAAGTTAGTATCAGCGATAGTAAAGACCAAGCGAGTTAAGTTAATGTGCAGCCAATAAGTCAAAAGGGTAGTTATAACACACTGACTTTTGCTTTGTTAAAAGGGAAGTACAGTGGAGGAAATGAATTGAACACTGAAATATAAGATTAGATTTTGAAGACAAACAACAAACTCGACTAAAATGTGTCGTAGTTTCAAATTAGAAAATCAGTACATGTTCAAATGTTGGCATTGAGACATTTGAGCCAGGCTACACCTAATCCCCACATAGGGGTGTCGAATCTCCAATCACTGCAAATGCGAAAGGCAATTAGGGTGCAACTGACTGATAAGCTATTTATTTTAATTTAGTGCCTGTGCTGCCCCATTTCTAAAACCGCCCTGGGCAACTACCCATAAGGACGACTCCAGCTGAAAACTGGAAACCCCTCACCATAGTTTGGGCCCCCTTTGAGGACAAAATGTTAATTTGCCATAGAACATATCCCACCCACTAACAGGAACAAAAACAATAAGCTAATCAGTGTATTTCACCTCATTTCTCAGTGGTCATAATGTTGAGCTTGATCGGCGAATAGAGTTCTTTATTGCACATTATCACGAAGGCAAAAATAAAAAGATAATACATTTCACACAAATTATTCTCCTTTTAATGTCCAGACGGTCAACCGTGTGTTTTGCGAGCCATCCTCTCTCAGTCATGGATGTCGTACCTGTAGGCTTCTATGAGCCCTTCAACGGAGTGGATGAAGCCTGATATGGCACATATGCCTCCAATAACAAAAATGGAGACGTCAAAGAAGACGTGGTGCCACAGAAGGTTTCTCCACTGGAGCTTCAGGTGGAAGAGGCTCGGTAGGAGGAAGCACAGGCCTGCACCCGTCAGGCTTCCAGTTAGACCCATCAGCAGGGCAAAATGCGGGACAAAGACGGCCATGAGCAGGGTAAAGACCACCAAGCCTACTCTTAAGCCAAGACCCCAGGTTTTTAGCTGCCCGCCGGGGCCGTAGCAGTCAGGAAAGAGGGCTCTGCCGCCGTCCTGGAACAGGGATTTCTCCAGAACTTCTACAGCTGCAAAGAACGGCAGAGGGTAGGACAGGAGCGCTTTGGCGACAAGGAAGAGGTTCACCACAGCCCGGATGGTCGAGGGCAGGTTATCTGTGATGACCTCTTTGGTGGCGTCCGCCCAGGTCAGGTAGGCCACCAGGGCGAAGAGGCCCTTGAGGACACAGGCTGCGATGTGGGTCCAGTCCATCATGCAGTGGAACTCGCTGGGCTTCTGCATGTTCCCCTCCAGGGAGGGCAGGAAGATCTGGGAGGTGTAGCTGAACACGATGATGCCGATGGAAATGGGGAACTTCTTCACGTCGATGTAGAACTTGACCTTCTCCCACGCCCACTCGCGCGCCCTGGACAGACAGTAGGCGATCACGAGGATGTTGATGACGAAATGCGCCAGCGTGCACAGGAGGCTGAACTTGGAGACGGCCTTGAGATTTTTCAGGAACGCGCAGGGCAGCAGCGCGGCCGTGGCCAGCACCGACCAGGCCTTCTGAGAGACGGGGAAGCTGGGAAAGCTGTTGTACATCAGGTTGCCGCTGACCACCACGTACAGGATGCACGTCATGACCAGCTCGATGATCTGGGCCACGTTCACCACGTGGCCGCCGAGTGCCGGGAAGCGGGGCGCGCAGCAGGCGTTGGCGATGTCCACGTAGGAGTCTCTGACGCGCACCTTGATCCCGTCCTCGTTGTCCTCGTACAGGCACGCGATGAGGATTTTGCCCGTGTAGCAGCACACCACCGCCGCGAAGATGATGAGGAAGAGGCCGAGGTATCCGCCGTGGAGGATGGCGTACGGCAGGCCGAGGACGAACATGCCCTGCGGACAGAGAAGCGCAGCTCAGTGATAATAAGCGAGGCCCCGCATCGCAGTGGCAGGCCGATCAGCCCGGGCGGCCAGCGGCGGGCACACTCACTCACTCAGCTCCCGTGTTACATAATAACGATTTAAGACATTCATGGAATGGGCTTCAGAGTAATTATAATAATAATAAGTGCAATCCGTTAATGAACTACGCGTTGAACATCCCATTCGGTCTGCTCCACGTCGAATCATTCAAATGTTATTATTTATTTATTTATTTTTATTTCTTTGACTGTAATTGTAATTTGATGAAGACGCCGATAAGCGCACCTCGTGGCAATCGACGTCAGCCAGGCCCTGCCTGAAGCTGCGCTGATAAAAAGATTTGAATACATAAACCGCGAGAGCCGCTCGCCGCAGTGGATTCACGCACAAAGCGTGAATGCAGCGTGAAATTGTTCCGCATTTCATTATGACCAAAATCCAGCCCCAGTTTTTTTTTTTTTTTTGTCCTGCTTCAGTCCTACAACAACAACAACGTGTTTCAATCTTACATTTCCGACTGTCTGAAGATGTTTCAAACGTAAAGATGTCAAATCAAGGTGACTTGTTTTGTCCTGCAGGGCCGCATGCAGAGACGATCCGAGTGGGTTTGGGGCCCTAATCAGATTTCGATGTGCGCGTTTTACTGAAGCTTATACCTTACGAATATAACATAACCTCTATTAGGAAATCAAATACCAGCCAGGATACATAACACTTTTATTCATGCTTTAGTGAATTTGATTCTGTACATTTCTACCCTTTTTTTTTTTGTTAATTGTAAATGATCTGAAATAAATACTCATCATTGTAAATTTGCTTACAAAAACCTAAAAAGGAGTAAAAAATAATAATTATTGCAATTAGAAGATGTAAAAATAAGAGAGATGAATTCGTAGCTTTAAAACCCATTAATGTTATTGAAGAGATTTTTTTTTTTGCTGTAATTAAATATTTTAGTTGTAAGTACAGAGTTGTATATCATCTGGCACACGGTTTTAGTTTTATGTTATCTTAATTTAAGATTTTGGAATTGTAAATTAGTTGTCTTCGATTTGTTTCTTTCACTGCTTTTTATGTGAACTTTACATTTTAAACTGTTTCGTTTGAATTGAGCTGTAAAATATAGAGGCCTAGTCAAAGCACTTAAGATAAAGTAGGCTACATCTGTATTTTTAATGTTTGTTCTTAATACACATTACCTTAATCCTGTTTTTTTTATTGTTGATACCAATCCGAAGTCTCTAATAGAGAAATCCAAACAATATTATTATTATTATTATTATTATTATTTTTTTTTTTTTTTTGCTGAGGTTGTAATTTTATACTTTTTTTCTTCTAGTCAGCTGAAAACTAAACATGTAACGTTCTGCTCCACTCAGAAAACGTTTTGAATTCTACGCCTGACCTGTGGGATGAAGCTCCTGCATGCGCTGTTGTAGTGGGAGCTGCCTGCTTCGCCTATTCCTCCGGCTGGCTGTGAGCACACATAGCACCCCACCCCCCAGCCCCCACCCACCACCACCACCACGCCTCACTCCCCCTCCACCCCCATCGACTCACACATGGTCGATAAAAGCACCTGAATGGCATTGGTGACGTTCCATCCAGCTTCCCATGACGTGATTTTGGGCTTGTCCTCCTCCAGGGAGCCGCCGCTCTTCAGGGTCGACTGCCTCGGACCGGTACCGTCCCTCTGGTAGCGGGTGTCCCCCTCCACGTCGCCCTCTCCCTCCGCCTCTCCTGCTTCCTCCTCTTCCCCCCGGAGGACGTCCATCTGCATTCCTTGCCTGTAGTCGTAGTCCAGGTCGTCGCACTCCGCAAAGCCCAGACCCTCTTCGTCCGTGGCGGCCTGGAAGCCCAGCCGGGCGAACACCCCGCTGACCTTGGCCTGGGATTTGTTGGACACCGTGTGGGCCGCATTGGTCAGTTTGTTGCTGATCTTGTGTCGGATTAGATGAGCCATGTTTATTTATTGTTTTTTTTATTTTTATTTTATGATTACTTATCCAAGATCAATTTGTTCTTTGCGTCAAGAAATCTGACAGATTATCCCCCCCAAAAGAACATGCAGATTGATGTTTTCGCTCCTACACTGAAATCATGCCTGTTGGCCTTTGAATGTCGTCGCAGCTGCTGTTTCCTCCAAATCGCTAGAAAAATCCTCATCCGCTTCTCTTTGCTTGTCCATCCATGTTACTCCATCAGAAATTACCTTCCCTCATAAAGGAAGAGACAAAAAGCAGCAGAAGAAGAAGAAACCAGCACGCGTCCCGGATGCTCGTATTTTTTCCAGAGTCTTTTCAGTTTAGAATCCAGCGTCTGATGCTGGAATCAGAAAGATGCTGGATTCTCAGCATCAGCACCAGAGAGAGAAACAGGGGGGGTTGGGGGGGGAGAGGAGCGTGCACGTGTCCTCAAAGGGTGCCACAGTCCTCGCGCTCCCGACTCGCGCGGGTGGCAGAGAGAGAGAGAGAGAGAAAGAGAGAGATGTTTATTCCCTCGGCAAGAGTTTAACGAGAGAGTGATCACGACCTAAAGAACGAAACAAATAAATGGATAATATATTTATATATATTTTTAAAAATCCGGCCTGTTGTAGCCAGAGCTTCAGGATAATTTCCTCTGAAATGATGCATGAATTAAAAAACAAACAAAAAACAGCTACCACAACGTAGCAATGTGGCGGAATGGCAAAGACACCCGCCACCAAAAACCAGCGGGTGACTTCTTTCTAAAAATGTCATGTAAAAAAACAAAAATAAAAAAAGAAACAAAATACTTACAAATGTCCTAAATTATTATTCCAGACAAGAAAAAAGGGGGGAAAACCTCGACGCTTTATTTATTTATTTATATTTTTTACGAGCAAAAACAGCACACACCCCCACGCCCCTCCCTCCGTCCCGTGGAGCTGCAGTCTAACATGTGAAACCAATCTGAAATTTGTGAAAGAAGCGCGCGCCACTCGACATCCCCACCCACACACACCACACACACCACACACACACACACACACACACACACACACACACACACACACACACAACACACACACACACACACGGGCCTCCACATCATCATGCAGATTCGCATGCTCGCGTATTAGGGGGCCACATTTTTGTGCAGACAAACAAACAAAAAACATTATCTTGTAGGCACGGTGTTTTGACTTGTTTCTGCAAATTGCGGAACAAAACAAAACAGAAGCAGGATTGTTGATTCAAATGGGAACCATTTTATGTTGTTGTTTTTGGATACGCTTGCCTATTAAAGATCTTAAAGTCTATTTCTTTATCTTTTCTGCCTCATCTGTCCTGCTCCTGATCAGTGCAGATGACCTCTCTCCTCAGGCTGTGAATGGATGCAACTCGTTGCTGACATGATGAGCCTCCTGCAGCTGGCCAGATGCGGAGCTCCGGCAGCACCGCGGACATCCGACTCGTCTGTCTTTTAGCGCCCTTGAGCCGCCTATTCATTAAGCATTTGTGTGTGTATTTTTTTTGTGTGTGTGTGTGTGGTGGTGTGTGTGTGTGTGTGTGTGTGTGTGTGTGTGTGTGTGTGTGTGTGTGTGTGTGTGTGTATGTTGTGGATTATATTTTCTGAATGTGCACACAGAAAACAAGCCAGAGAGGAGTAACGCGGTCTCTCCTCCACCTCAGCTCGAATCCCTGCAAATAGGAAGCACCTCGTCTTTTCCTCCCTGATCCGCTGTGACAGGGCTGAGCAGAAGCCGTCATCCGGTCTCTGCAGTCGGCTTGCAGAAACGCAGCCGACTGTGGCAGGGAGCCAAGAAGAAACAAATTCCGCTGCAATTCGAGAAATGAGAATAAAATCAAATAAAGATGCGGGGCGTTTTTATGAACCAGCAAGATGTCTGTTTCTGGCTGAGCCTTTGTTCTAGGTGATAATTGTTTTGGCATCAGGAGAACTGAGTTATATAAAAAAAAAAGGCGAGTCAGTGCGGCAGGAGAAAAACTGCAAGACAAAAATAAATAAATAAATAAATAAAACACGCAGCATGGATGAGAGGTCTAAATTTAGCGAGAGGCCGCAGGACAGAGAAAGTTCCGCATATTTTTATGCTTGGCTTGGTGCTGCTCTGGCAAGCTGCTGTTCGCGCTCGTGTTTGTTGGGTTGAGTGGGTCATCCGTGTGTTTGGGGATGTGAGCGGACACGCGTGCGTGGGACGGCGGAGGAACCACGGAGAGTCCTCGAGGCGTCCCCCCACCCCACCAACCCCCCTCGCATAACGCGCAGAGTCCCCGGGCCCACGCCGCGCGGGACAGAGGAAATGTCACACACACGCAAACACGCAGGGAAAAAAAAAAAACACAAAAACATGCAGATCAATTTCGTTTATGAGTCCAAGGGACTGGAACATGTAAAATACAGACATTTGAACATAATATACAAAATTAAATTCACCTCACTGCTGAGAGAATTTCTGACAAAGGACTTTTGTTGGCTTGATGACTGAGGCTAAAACAGGAGGATTAATTCACAGTCCGCGTGTACAAAGAAGAAGGAGTCTTCAGTGGGTGTGCGTTAAGTGTTAGTGTGTGTGTGTGTGTGTGTGTGTTTGCGCAGAGGCTTACTGCCTCCGCTGACAGCCGTGGAGCGCTGACTGAGAGCAATAATCTCTGATAGTTGCCATGGCCACTGTAATTGGACTGTGTGTGTGCACGTTCAGATTTAAAGGTGTGTGTGTGTGTGTGTGTGGGGTGTGTGTGTGTGTGTGTGTAGGGGTTGGGGGGCAGATTTTCACACCACAAGGTCTTTATTGCGAGGAAGCTTTTAGTAAAAGCCCAAAATAAAGCCATTTCAGTAAGTTCTGTTAATTTTTTACAATTACATTTTAAGGATTGGATCTTTGACGGAGAGGAAGGGCTTGAGAAAATCAACAGAGAGCATAAACTCCTGAGGAAGAGGACTGCTTCGATGGAACAAAGTTCAATGAAAAGTAGAACAATGGTTTTGAAAGATATGTGTTCCTGGACCAGAGTTGGTTCTGCTGCTCTTCTCACAGATCAAGATAAAGCAAAAACAGGTTTGTCCTCTTTAAAAAAGCCAGTTTATAACAAGAATTATTATTATTATTTTTTTTTAATGTGTGTGTAAAATTCTGCAGAGGCCTGGTGTTATTTGTAAATAAGTAAATGGTTACACAAAAAAGTTGTTTACACGAAAAAAAAAACAACAACAAAAAAAACCCCCAACAACAACAAAAAGCCAGTTTGCCTTACTTTCTGACTGGATTTCATTGTTTTAAACATTTACTCGGGTGCATGTGAAACAAGGTGGTTTCATACTTGGAACCAACAAGATTCGATTCAAGTGGCCTTTAATTCTTCAGCTCTTTACTGTGATGCAGAAAGAACCTATTTAAAATTGACTGAAAATTGTGCTTGAAAAACACACACACACAAAATATGCACAAATACTTTATCTCCTATAAGTCAGGGGCTCATGACAAATCCCTGGGCTCCTGTGTGAGCTCTGGATGGGATTTCTCTTCCTCTTGGTTCTTAAAGACGTGACTTTCAGACACTGTGGACTTTTAATTGACCTGACAGTTCTTCTTGTCCTGCACATTTCCTTCCTCTTTTCTTGGATTTTACGTGCACTATGTCAAAATCAGATATAAGACCTAAGCTAAGATGTAAGTAACAAGAAAAAAAAATAGAAAAAAAGAAAACAAAAACATGAAAGAGCTTCAAAAACCTCAGAGAACTGTTCTTCTAAATGTGATCATTATTCATTCAATAAAATTGCTTTTTTTCTCTTTTTTGCTGCCTTCCTTCAGTTCGTGTCTCTCCATCAATACATTTTTCAGTGAATCAGACATTGTACAATTCTTTTACACAGTTTTATGAAACCAAAATGCTCTATGTGGGAAAAAAACGCTGGAGTGTGAAAGTAGGTCGTCTTTCTGTGCCGCGGTGTTTGTTTTGAAGTCAAAGCCGTTTCATTGATTTATAATATCTGGAACTAAATTAGAGACAAGGCCACCAAGAGTGATATTTCTCTCTGAAAAATGAAAAAAAAAGGCTTTTTTTAAATCATACTTCTGCTTCCTCTTTTTGATTTGACTGCTGATACAAATCAACTGAACAAAGGGAGACCTTTCATGGTTGTGGAGTATGTGGGTGGACTTTGTGTGACCTTTTCACAAAGTCGCACAGGAATTTCTTCAATAACTCAGACAGCTGCCCTTTGGTTTTTGCTTATAAAAGCAGTTTATTTGTTACTGGCTCTAATTAGTTGTTAGTTCATTGCGACATTAAAAGCTTGATTGTACTAATTACCTGGTGATGCAAATTCACAGTGGATTAATATTACACAGGCACATTTTTACATAGGATTAAATTCCATGTGACTGAACACAAATGCATGCCACACTTTGTAGTTTTTAACGTCATCGTTCCTCAATTTCACAGATATGTGCTTCTTTTTTTGGGACCAAATAAAATCCCACTAAAATGCAAGAAAACCTAGTTCTGATGTGGAAACAGTGTTTTTGCAAGGTACTGTAAGTCTGAGTAAATTTTATAATACAGATTTCTCTTCTGTATTGATGATTCTATTACAATAGAATCGAACGGCATGCATGATGATCCCTGTCAGCTCTTCATCTCTTTAAGAAGACTCTATTTTTGTGGTAGAGAGGGAAGAGGAGGGCGGAATGGGGTGTTGGAATCAAAATGGTGCACCGTCAAAACCGTAAAATTCAAACAAACACAAATGATTTTACTGAACAATTTGAACCGAGGTAACGTGGAGATGCCACAGAGTCATTTCATCAGAACCGAGCTTGACATGATTCACCCACCTCCCCCCCTCTCTCTTCTCTTCCTTGTCAGAGAACCAGCAGTCTGCTCATTCCTCCACAAAATGGAGGCTGCTTGGCATCATGCATAGCAGTCCCACAACGTTTGTAGGCTGTTTGTTCCCTCGTGCCTCATCACCGCTGCCTGGATGTCAAGCACAACAAGCAGAGAGCTGCGAGCGCTGTGTGCAGACAGCAGCACCATGTCACGTCCTGCTGCCCTGGAGGAATCAGAGCCTCCCCGTGTGTGTGTGTGTGTGTGTGTGTGTGTGTGTGTGTGTGTGTGTGTGTGTGTGTTTTTAAATAGAGAGTAGACAGGGTGTTTTCTTTTTTTTTTTAGTTTATGTCTGCCTGCATATGTGTGTGTGTGCGCGTGTGTGAAGGGGCGTGGGCGGGTGCCTGTGAGTTGTGGGCGGTTACAGTATGAGGCATGATGTTGTGTCACTGAAGCCCGTGCACAGTTCACTGCTCAGGCACAAAGCTCGAAGTGACTGCGTCCTTCTCCTCCTGATGCTAATAAGCAGATCTGGGTCACCT